GCACATGCCAATACTAGGTCAGGTTGTACAACCAGAGCTAGTATTGCTCCGGGATCTTTTTGCCAGCTTTTTCCACGCCATGCTGGACTGGCAGCTTATCATGACAAGAAGACAGCTTCTTCAGATGCTTCCTCTTAAGCTGCTTCTTTGAAGAGCTTTCCCATGCCCCAATATTCTAACTCCAGCGTGAACCAGCATTGCGCTGGCAGGCTTGGAAAGCAAACGCGATGGCATTGCCACTAGGATCACGAGGTGGCGGTGCCTTCTTTTTGGTGGCCGCTGCTGTTTTCTGCAGACCCCAACGACTTCCATCCATGAGTCCAATGAGGGAGTTGCTTTGCAAGCGCTGCTTGGACCGCTGGGGCTACTAGTCCAACGACATAGAATCTCAACCAACCACTCCTCTTGATGCTGAGACGCACTTGGACGAAGCCCCAGCCCAGACTGTGTATCAAGGGCCTGCTTCTGAGTAGAAAACAACTACAAGTCTTGATATGATTACATTGTTCGCTGCAGCTGCAGTGTAAATACAAGTCAAGGGGACACGTCAAACCTAGCGGCTTCCCCTCGCGACCCAGCTGGGGCAGCTAGGACAGCTAGGACGTCACCGACTGAAATCGTTTCATCAAAAGGAAACACGACGTCAACCTCCAAAGCACACTGGGCGCAAGCTCGATGAAAGTAAAGCCACAGCTTCTGCCTCTGCCTGGAAGCAGGTCGGCTGGCAAAAGTACTTGTCTGACCCTTAGACTCACTACAACCACCTTTCAGTAGGGGAAAGGACAAGAACGATTGCCTGGAAAGGTAAAAATCACAAGTTTAAGGGCGCAGCCCACGCCAACCAAGTATTGACAAAGCTGACAACACAGAAATTCTGCAAAACCCCTAAGCACATTGAGCACTAATACACCGTCATCCCTAACTGTCCCGGTTTCAAATCAGTGCGCAGGCTAGCCTGCCTTTACCCAGGCAATGGTATGGCTGGGGCAGCTGGGTCCTCCACAGCACACCAACAAAGCAACCGCTTGCTACTGCAGCAAGCTCCAAGAAAGAATGATTAACAGCTTGAAGGTGAACACTTGACAAAGTAAAGTGCAAACTTGGATTGAGAGCCCGTCCCTGCCTGAAGCCTGATGGGTCACAGCTAGCCCCTGCCTCGCCCTGAAAAGAATGGCAAGGTAAGAACTTCTGGTACTGTCACATTCACATGTATTACCAGCACCAATAAGCCTACAAACTCTTTCAAGACCCAATTCACTGGCTCCTGCAAGGCCAATCGATGCGAGGGAATCAATGTTCTCACGCGGCCTCCCTTATCTGCAGGCAATGTAGCAGCAGTGGTGCAGCAAGGGGCAAAGGCCTGGCAAGTGACTGTACACTTGGTCAACCATGTCAAATCTCAATGTCAATAACAATGGAGGAAAGAGCACGGCTGGAAGCCTCTGCTCAACTCATCGAAATACTGAAGCGTGACTGCTTTTGCCAGTGTTGTGCAATGTCTGGCGGCATAAGCGCATGGGGTGGGCCCCTGTTTGCATCATGCCAATATCCAGCCCTGGAGGGTAGCGAGCGCACCGAGCCAGGTGAACCGAAAAGGGGCGTCCCTTGGCGTGCGGACCAAGCGCATGGCAAGCACGGCTTTGGCGCGCTCCTGGCACTTGAAGAGTTACGAAAGAAAACGTGCCATTTAAAGGTAGCGTCAAGATACGCTTATTTAAAGTACAACATGAGCGCAATACTTGGCAGGGCTAAAAAATGAAAACTGCTGACTAATGGTAAAGCTTCCAATACCATTCCGTCCCACAACAACTGGAACTCATCCGGCAATGCCACTGGTCGTCAACGAAATCGCCCTTGAAGCATTCTGCCTGGAGGGAAGGCGGCTTGACGCAATATGATGCTTTTGCTTGATTACTGATTATTTCAAAAGCTGCTACTACTACTACTACTACTACCAACTACTACTAACTACTACTAACTACTACTAACTATTACTAACTATTACTAACTACTACTACCTAGTACTACTTACTACTTACTACTCACTACTTACTCCTACTACTACTACTACTACTACCACTGCTGCTACTACTACTACTACTACTACTACTACTACTACTACTACTTTGGAACAAACATCAGTTCGAAGCCTGCAAGATCCAGATCGGGCTGTTGTAGTTGCGCTGAGCTACCTGCATGGGCGCTCTGGTAGCTGAGCACATAGAAGAACCCTTCTGCCGAGACCCACACATCGCAAGACCCTCTGCGTCTCCACTGTGGAATCCAGTGGTGAAGAAGCTCCGCATCACCGCTGCCTTGTTGCGCACCTCCAGTGGCACTGGCGCCTGCTGGTGAGCCAGTTTGTTCAGGGACCGCCCGCGGCCCAGTGGGCTGTCCGCCAATCTGGCAGAGCTCCAAGTAGGCCCGACCAAATGCCAAGACATCCTTGGCATAAAGGTCAATGTGCAAGAGCCGGCCAGCATGATTGACAGGCAAAGCCCATCCTTGCCACACTGTGTCCTGCAACCAAGGTATAACATCATCGATTTGTTCTTTCACTAAGTTGTCAACATTAAATGTATAAATTGAAACAGAGTTCATGTTCCTGGTGTTCCTGGAATGTGTACCCACGGGCGGCTCCATTGAGCGGGAAAGGATGCAAAAGCGTATCCACAATCCAGGATACACTCGTGGTGGCTTGGGCAGAACGAATCAAATCCAGATCCTCATCTTGATTCTTTTTTTGCGAGGGGCCGACCCAACAAATGATTCATCTTCCGGCCGGGCTGCCACCAACGTACAGCCGCTGCTGAGTTGCGTGCCTTGGAGGCATCTTGCCCACAATCTCTCTGGCTGCCTCAATGATGGAGCCATCGAACAAGGTCAGGCCTTGGGTCTTCCAAAACCCACAAGGCCATGGACTTTTATTAGGTGCTATGTTTTAGTTCACAAATAGCTGAAGAATTCTTATCACTCCCCAAAATTCAACAGCAAAGCTGATCTTCTCCAAGCAACTCGCCAAACAATCAGCAGAGTCAGGGCCCTCCGACCGCCTGGGAAAAAGCTTGCCTCCAAAAAGGTTGAACCCCCCGAAGCACCAGGTGAAGTTTTTCTGTGTGTCGTAGTGCTCCTGCATCACTCGAGGGGCCTGTGGAAGGGAAATGGCAGCACGCTGGATCTCGCCCCGTCGAAGTTGTAGAATCTGGATGTTCACCATGTAGTGCTGAAGCAACTGTCTCAGCAACATTTGTGTGCTCAGCCCTCCATGGATTGGTCACAAGAGTACTTCCTCCTCCAGCATCCGATGGCTCTGCGATTTCCACTGGATCTGCAATTAACTCCTCCACCAAGCGAATGGGCTCTGCTGCTCCGTCTGCAGGAGGTTCGCCTGCCCCAGCAACAGGGTCAAAAGCTGCCACGCCGACTGGCTCAGGCTCAGCCAACGCAGCCACTGCCACTACCTCAGCCGCTGGCTCGCCCTCAGCCATGAGTGCCAAAAGACAGGGCTGCTGGGGACTGCTTGGACCGCAAGGGCAGCTAGACAGCAAGGGCAGCTTCGACTGCAATCAACTAACCAATGTCCAGGGACCAGTGCACGAGACGTATTGCTTGTCTCAATGTCATACATGGTATATTAAGTTAGGTTGCAAAGAGTCCTAAACATGCAAATTCCTGCCAGCCCCAAGTCTTCAAGAACCATCTCGGCATTGAAGCAGGCCCTGGCCTCCACAAGGAGGAAGAAGAATTGGACGACCAAGGCAGGAGCACGTCAGGCCTAAGCAAGAATGAGGACTGCTGCGACCGCTGGGGCTGCTTGGAATGCTGTGCTACCCTTCAACTCTCTCATAGGACCCTTCACTACCAGGGTTATGTTGAATCTATGATTTAAGGGTTATCACAATAAGTTGACAGGTTAAGAATCAACTGACTCTCTAATTGACTCTCTGAGGGCCAAGCAGTGGGGGCTGCTGGGGCGTTTGGGCCGCTGAGCCAAGAAGGAGGAATGCAGCGACGACAAACACACAGACCAAAAAAAATAAATACTCGAATTGCCAATGTAGGTAACTATAATTATACCATCTAACATATTGACGCTGCCTCCACTATTTGATTTGGAGATGACTGAGGTCCCATGTTCGTCGTTCGTCCCTCGTGCCCAGCGTCACGTAGGCTGCAGTCAGCGGCGTAATAAAGGTTGCCGAGAAGGCACTCGCTGTGCCGTTGGCCGCGACTGGCGTAGCCTGGGAGCGATTTAACCTCGTCGAAAATACCCATCATGTTCCCGGACTTTGGGGCAAACTGCAAGCCGCAGCCTTAAAAACATTGTGTCAACTAGGGCTAGGGGAGCAAAGAACAACAAAAACACCTCAAGTGTGTTGATAAGATTTATTCACCCAGAAAAGGCTATGAATCAAGGGAAGTACACACCGAATCACACCGATACAATTACTGCAATTGCCGGAGAGAATGTCTCATATGGGGCATGACAAAGCACTCTCCTGCAGCCCCTCCATTACCGGCAATCATTTTGGAATTCCAAAAGGCTGCACGTATCATTTGCACACCATCATGCGAACACTTTTCCACCAAAACAAATTTGAAAAACACAAACACAAAAACATAGCACGACTCTGAGTACGACTCTTGACAAGATTGATGTCTCCCGGCCAAAGCGTCGTCGTCTCCAGGAAGAGATGCCACGAGCTGTCCTTTTTGACGGATCTCCCAGTGTTCAACGAAGCGGTTCCAGCTCAATGTCCACATCGATGTATCTATCCTGATCAGGTTTCAACAAACAGCCGGTGAATCTGCCCGCAGGCTGCCCTCTGCTGTGTCCCTCAAGCTGCCTGCAGGCGTTCCACATCTTGTGTCTGGGCCTGGGCAAACACCTTTCTGGAGAGTAGCCACAAGAAACCAAGCCTTCCGATTCCACACCCCTTAACCACTGAGAGAAGATCAACAACCAAAAGGGCCGGGTACAACAACAAGGTTCAATCTGATCAAGTTCGATCAGGCTCACCCCGGTCCCACCTGTGTCTTTGATGCGCCTTGACCGGCTGTTCCTGTGGGGAACCCATGCTGGCGATGAAGGTCTTCTCATAAGCGGCAGCACCAGTGACATCAATGCCAATGGGGCAGTAGTAGCCCGAGAAGTCCTTCCCAAGCGCGCTTTGGAGGATGCAAACAACATGCTTCCAAAACTGCATCATGATAGATGATGCCTACCCGTCTGTTGATTGGTCATGACTCATGGGTCACTAGATTAAACTCTTGGGAGTTGAAGGAGGATGCCATGTACAGCTGGCCAAGCTGGAAATACCAACGCAACCGTCCATCATTTCTACTTCAAATGGCTTGTTCGTCCTTGTAGGTCCAAGTCCGGCGTGGACTCTCAGTCAAGGCCATGCCCAAACGCCTGACAGAGCTGGGTCGGCTTCCAAACACCCCCACATTCTGGACAGCAAACCTAATCTTGCCATCCGGCCATCCCGCAGCATTACATCGAGCAAAGCCAAGGACACAATCTTAAATATAACGATCTTTGCACAGGAGAAACTGTAGAGAAATGCGGAGAATACATGCAGCCACCCATCTTCAAGAGCAGGAGGACAGCGGCAAGCGTTTGTGGTGCGAAAAGGAATGAATCATGGAACCACGGCTAATCACCCTCCGGCTGGCACCATCCAGCCAGTTGATTTCCTCCCCTAAAACGCCCTTTGGACAACGATGACCCGACCTCTGCCACTGACAGCAGCCAAGCTTGAACTGATTGGAGTCAAAGCTTACACTCACGACCTTGAATCGCAGAGTACCCGCAAAGTAGCAACCAGCAAAGTAGTCCAGTAGTAGGGGGAATATGGCTGAGAAACCTGCAACAGTGTAATTGTAGACTCTTGATGAGTAAACCCTCCATGTACGTTGCCTTTATCCGTGACATTCTGGAGGAACATGGAGGCAACCCTCCATATCATTCAGATATTTGATTTCCCTCTCTGCCAGTTACTAGTACGCCGTGTGACTGGCCCAATCTCCCGGAAGTCCCACTGGATAAAAGTGCATTTTTTTTTCGACATGTCAGGTATGCCATTATATACCCGGAAAAAGGACTTGGACCAAATCCCGCATCCGGACCCAGGTTCTTAAGAAGCTCCTGAACAATTCGTAATTCAAAATTCGATTACCAAATGATGTGCCGTTCGGTTTCACGTAGTTCATTTGGTCTATTGCATTCAATGTGGATAGCTCCCAGCATCTATCCGGCAACGTATACCCGTTCTGAAAGAGCAAGGGGCAGTGTTGTCGCGGACCGTCGCTGACATCCGTACATGCGCATCCCATGTGAAGGGCTTATTGATTTCAAATGGGTAATCAAGAGTCTATGAAAAAAACAAACACCACCATCTGTCTGAATAAATAATCCAGGCCACCACTCCCCCCCCCTGGCAGTACGAAGTAGTTGGCTGCTCACAGGATGACAAGAGAGGAGTCGAACGGCAATAGAGCCGCAGTTTCGTGGCATTGGTTGGTCCGCCCAAGG